TTAAAAAAAAAAAAAGCAGGTGCAATGCCGCCAAAAAACTTATATTAGAGAGTGCGTAGAGAGACAGATGTAAAAAATAAAAAAACAGCATCACAATCAATAAACTACCGCAAAAGTCCAAATTCCCAGAAGAAGTAGAATGACAAGCGACACACCTTTATGCCTACAGCCGCCACCTTCACTTTGTTCCTGGGACGAACCCTCGCTCATGGAGCTGCCAACTCCACTTCGTTCCTTGGACGAACTCTCGCTCATGGAGCTGCCACCCTCACTTCGTTCCTTGGACGAGCCCTCGCTCATGGAGCTGCCAACTCCACTTCGTTCCTGAGACGAGCCCTCGCTCATGGAGCTGCCAACTCCACTTCGTTCCTGGGACGAACCCTCGCTCATGAAGCTGCCAACTCCACTTCGTTCCTGGGACGAACCCTCGCTCATGGAGCTGCCACCTTCACTTCGTTCCTGGGACGAACCCTCGCTCATGGAGCTGCCACCTTCACTTCGTTCCTGAGACGAACCCTCGCTCATGAAGCTGTCAACTCCACTTCGTTCCTGAGACGAACCCTCGCTCATGAAGCTGCCACCTTCACTTTGTTCCTGAGACGAACCCTCGCTCATGGAGCTGCCACCTTCACTTCGTTCCTGAGACGAACCCTCGCTCATGAAGCTGTCAACTCCACTTCGTTCCTGAGACGAACCCTCGCTCATGAAGCTGCCACCTTCACTTCGTTCCTTGGACGAGCCCTCGCTCATGAAGCTGCCAACTCCACTTCGTTCCTGGGACGAACCCTCGCTCATGGAGCTGCCACCTTCACTTCGTTCCTGAGACGAACCCTCGCTCATGGAGCTGCCACCTTCACTTCGTTCCTGAGACGAACCCTCGCTCATGGAGCTGCCACCTTCACTTCGTTCCTGGGACGAACCCTCGCTCATGAAGCTGCCACCTTCACTTTCATTCCCCGACCCAGTTGGCGTACCCCTCGTGGCTTCACAGGTGCCGCAGCATATCAGCACAAATAAGAGAAGCAGCACCGCAGAAGCAAAAAAATTCCGGAACATGTTGGGCATTTGGTGGTGAGCCATCTTTTCCTTCCCTCCTTCCGCTGGATCAGCTCACACTGCGACCTTGGTGTGTTTGTGTGTGTTATCTTGACAGCAGCTGCTCTGGTGTATATATGCGTGAACGGTCTGTTCTGGGTCCTTTCAGAGACTTCGGAGTGCACAGTAACGATTATCGCTTGTTAGTAACTTCCTTTCATGGTGTGTGGTGTGTGTTCAAGAAGTGGTGAAAGCAACGGCAGCGAAAAATCAGAAATGACAGTGGTGAGCAAAGCAGACCGCTCTCTGCATCAGCGGAACACAAGAAAACCCAGTGAAAAAAAAATCAACATGGACAGCCGTCGCCCTTGGAGAAAAAAAACAACGCGGCAAGGCACTGCGGAGCCCAGCACACACACAGACAAAGAGGGTGCGGAAAAGGGCAATGACCCTCTCGCAGACCCCGCGCCCACTGGCTCCACAAAACCCCGTCGCCACGCTCCGCCATTCCCCACCGGCCATCATGCGCACTAAGGCGGGTCGTCGGTGTGTGCGGGCCAGGCATCCCGCGCTGCAACACACATCACGACCAGTAGAGAGAGACGTGTCGTCAAGGGGCACTCACGATCAACACGGTCCGAAAGCATGCGGCCATTCCGCGCAGGAACGCAGGAGCAAAGTAAAAAGGGAAACAGCAGCAAAAAAAGACAGGAAGCACGGAAGGGACAACCAGCAGGCAGGGGAAAGAACCACCAAGACCCTCCCCCTGGCCGGCGCCACAGCCCCATCCCCCACACATGCGCACAGTGACAACGCTGCCAGACCGCGCACGGGAAAAAGCCGGCCCTCCACAAAAAAAACATACACCGTGCCAGAAGTCACCCCCCAACTCTTTTCCACAGATCCGGAACAAACACACCGCTAGTCACGTGCAGGGGCGGCCCCTCAGCCACCCGCCACGCGGTGACAAAATTTACTGCTGTCCCGCCCTCAGTGGGATGCGGCGCCTCACTCCAAACGGCCACACGCGGTACCCTACACCCACAGGGAAAAAGAAGCACACCGCACTATCCGTGTGTCCTTCCTCCTCCTAGTTCGGACACAGCAGCAGCGACACGCAAAGGCCAGCAGGGAATAAGAAAGGGTCATCCAGGTGCATCGTCATGTCATACATATCGTCTGCGTGGGGCTACGTGTGCATGTAGGTGCGCAAAGAAAAAGAAAAGAAAACAAGAAGAATCAGGCAACTGAAGAGAAACAACAACACAGCACGGGCGTAAGACAAAGAAAAAATAAGAACAGGCCCAACTCGGGAGTGCACCGCAGCCACGAAATTCAAAAATCGCGGAACATTTATTTCTCAACCATCAGAAACCCGTCCTTTTACAAAATTTTCACGAAATAACCAAAAAAAAAAAAAAAAAAATCTTATCGCAAAGGATCACAGAGAGGCATCCCACGCTTCTGCGTCAATTTTGCCAGCAGAAACATGTCTCTATTTGTTTCAGCCGATTAAACCCACTGTGTCCACGCACCGTTTATATTACACCGTGACACTCCATTCGTTCCTCTACTGATCAATTCCATATTATTTCCATCGGCATCCGTCGGCGTGGTACAAAATACCTCAAAAATCAAAAAAATCAGACGGAAACAGCCAGCAGATCCCCTTACTCCTAAAAAAAAACAAAACGTACAAAATAAAGCACCGCTGTGCTGGTCTCCAGCAGAGAAGGCATTTAATTACAACAAAAATCGTCTTCATAATTTAAAGAATGGACAAACGTTAAAAAAAAAAAAACAGGTGCAATGCCGCCAAAAAACTTATATTAAGAGAGTGCGTAGAGAGACAGATGTAAAAAATAAAAAAACAGCATCACAATCAATAAACTACCGCAAAAGTCCAAATTCCCAGAAGAAGTAGAATGACAAGCGACACACCTTTATGCCTACAGCCGCCACCTTCACTTTGTTCCTGGGACGAACCCTCGCTCATGGAGCTGCCAACTCCACTTCGTTCCTTGGACGAGCCCTCGCTCATGAAGCTGCCACCTCCACTTCGTTCCTTGGAGGAACCCTCGCTCATGAAGCTGCCAACTCCACTTCGTTCCTTGGACGAACCCTCGCTCATGAAGCTGCCAACTCCACTTCGTTCCTGGGACGAACCCTCGCTCATGGAGCTGCCAACTCCACTTCGTTCCTTGGACGAGCCCTCGCTCATGAAGCTGCCAACTCCACTTCGTTCCTGAGACGAACCCTCGCTCATGGAGCTGCCACCTTCACTTTTTTCCTGAGAAGAACCCTCGCTCATGGAGCTGCCAACTCCACTTCGTTCCTTTGACGAACCCTCGCTCATGGAGCTGCCACCTTCACTTTTTTCCTGAGAAGAACCCTCGCTCATGAAGCTGCCAACTCCACTTCGTTCCTTGGACGAACCCTCGCTCATGAAGCTGCCAACTCCACTTCGTTCCTGAGACGAACCCTCGCTCATGGAGCTGCCAACTCCACTTCGTTCCTGGGACGAACCCTCGCTCATGAAGCTGTCAACTCCACTTCGTTCCTTGGACGAGCCCTCGCTCATGAAGCTGCCAACTCCACTTCGTTCCTGGGACGAACCCTCGCTCATGAAGCTGCCACCTCCACTTCGTTCCTGGGACGAACCCTCGCTCATGAAGCTGCCAACTCCACTTCGTTCCTTGGACGAACCCTCGCTCATGAAGCTGCCAACTCCACTTCGTTCCTGGGACGAACCCTCGCTCATGAAGCTGCCAACTCCACTTCGTTCCTGGGACGAGCCCTCGCTCATGAAGCTGCCAACTCCACTTCGTTCCTTGGACGAGCCCTCGCTCATGAAGCTGCCAACTCCACTTCGTTCCTGAGACGAACCCTCGCTCATGGAGCTGCCAACTCCACTTCGTTCCTTGGACGAACCCTCGCTCATGAAGTTGCCAACTCCACTTCGTTCCTTGGACGAACCCTCGCTCATGAAGCTGCCACCTCCACTTCGTTCCTGGGACGAACCCTCGCTCATGAAGCTGCCACCTCCACTTCGTTCCTGGGACGAACCCTCGCTCATGAAGCTGCCAACTCCACTTCGTTCCTTGGACGAACCCTCGCTCATGGAGCTGCCACCTTCACTTCGTTCCTGAGACGAACCCTCGCTCATGAAACTGCCAACTCCACTTCGTTCCTGGGACGAGCCCTCGCTCATGAAGCTGCCACCTCCACTTCGTTCCTGGGACGAACCCTCGCTCATGAAGCTGCCAACTCCACTTCGTTCCTTGGACGAACCCTCGCTCATGGAGCTGCCACCTTCACTTCGTTCCTGAGACGAGCCCTCGTTCATGAAGCTGCCAACTCCACTTCGTTCCTGGGACGAACCCTCGCTCATGAAGCTGCCACCTCCACTTCGTTCCTGGGACGAACCCTCGCTCATGAAGCTGCCAACTCCACTTCGTTCCTGGGACGAACCCTCGCTCATGAAGCTGCCAACTCCACTTCGTTCCTGGGACGAGCCCTCGCTCATGAAGCTGCCAACTCCACTTCGTTCCTTGGACGAGCCCTCGCTCATGAAGCTGCCAACTCCACTTCGTTCCTGGGACGAGCCCTCGCTCATGAAGCTGCCAACTCCACTTCGTTCCTGGGACGAACCCTCGCTCATGAAGCTGCCAACTCCACTTCGTTCCTGGGACGAACCCTCGCTCATGAAGCTGCCAACTCCACTTCGTTCCTTGGACGAACCCTCGCTCATGAAGCTGCCAACTCCACTTCGTTCCTTGGACGAACCCTCGCTCATGAAGCTGCCAACTCCACTTCGTTCCTGGGACGAACCCTCGCTCATGAAGCTGCCAACTCCACTTCGTTCCTGGGACGAACCCTCGCTCATGAAGCTGCCAACTCCACTTCGTTCCTTGGACGAACCCTCGCTCATGAAGCTGCCAACTCCACTTCGTTCTTTGGACGAGCCCTCGCTCATGGAGCTGCCAACTCCACTTCGTTCCTGAGACGAACCCTCGCTCATGGAGCTGTCAACTCCACTTCCTTCCTGAGACGAACCCTCGCTCATGAAGCTGCCAACTCCACTTCGTTCCTTGGACGAGCCCTCGCTCATGAAGCTGCCACCTTCACTTCGTTCCTGAGACGAACCCTCGCTCATGAAGCTGTCAACTCCACTTCGTTCCTGAGACGAACCCTCGCTCATGAAGCTGCCAACTCCACTTCGTTCCTGAGACGAACCCTCGCTCATGAAGCTGCCAACTCCACTTCGTTCCTGAGACGAACCCTCGCTCATGGAGCTGTCAACTCCACTTCGTTCCTGAGACGAACCCTCGCTCATGAAGCTGCCAACTCCACTTCGTTCCTGAGACGAACCCTCGCTCATGGAGCTGTCAACTCCACTTCGTTCCTGAGATGAACCCTCGCTCATGGAGCTGCCACCTTCACTTCGTTCCTGAGAAGAACCCTCGCTCATGGAGCTGCCACCTTCACTTCGTTCCTTGGACGAGCCCTCGCTCATGAAGCTGCCACCTTCACTTCGTTCCTTGGACGAGCCCTCGCTCATGAAGCTGCCAACTCCACTTCGTTCCTGAGACGAACCCTCGCTCATGAAGCTGCCACCCTCACTTCGTTCCTTGGACGAGCCCTCGCTCATGAAGCTGCCACCTTCACTTCGTTCCTGGGACGAACCCTCGCTCATGAAGCTGCCAACTCCACTTCGTTCCTGAGAAGAACCCTCGCTCATGAAGCTGCCAACTCCACTTCGTTCCTTGGACGAACCCTCGCTCATGAAGCTGCCAACTCCACTTCGTTCCTGGGACGAACCCTCGCTCATGGAGCTGCCACCTTCACTTCGTTCCTTGGACGAGCCCTCGCTCATGAAGCTGCCAACTCCACTTTCATTCCCCGACCCAGTTGGCGTACCCCTCGTGGCTTCACAGGTGCCGCAGCATATCAGCACAAATAAGAGAAGCAGCACCGCAGAAGCAAAAAAATTCCGGAACATGTTGGGCATTTGGTGGTGAGCCATCTTTTCCTTCCCTCCTTCCGCTGGATCAGCTCACACTGCGACCTTGGTGTGTTTGTGTGTGTTATCTTGACAGCAGCTGCTCTGGTGTATATATGCGTGAACGGTCTGTTCTGGGTCCTTTCAGAGACTTCGGAGTGCACAGTAGCAATTGGCTTGCGTTGTTAAATTCCTTCGTGGAGGAGGGCAAAAGACAACATTGACGGAAAAGCAGCAAAAAAACAGTAGAAACTGTCACTACTTATGGTGGACCACAAAATCCTTTTTCCCAAAGTGACTATTTCTCAGCGTTTCTCGGCAGAATAGATAAATAAAAACACGAAGTGAGCGGCCTCACGATGAGAAGGGCAGGTGGTGGCCCTACAAGTAAGGCAAAGGAAAAGGAGCTACGAGTGCGGTGAAGTACAAGTCCATTACAAGGATCTGAAACCCGTTTGGTGAAAATAGGGCTGCAGTGACACGGTTTTTTGTTATCGCGCTAGTATTATGGAAGCAAAGCATCACATGTCCCTAATGGAAAGTTGCTTCGCTCATCCTCTGGACTTATTTTTGTTTGGTGGTATCATCGGAATCATGTCCAATCTTCTGAAAGACGAATCAAAAAACCTTTCACTGCCACATCGTAAATAATATACCCCTTCACCCCACGCCGAGCCAGACCCTTCCAGATTTTTGAGAATGTTATCTCACCCTCGTACCTTGTCACGGTTTTGGTGATCTTGTCAGACTCGTACTTCGTGCTTCCACCAAAAATGTAGACAAATAAATGGAGTTTCTTGGCATCGCAGTGCAGCAGCTGGTAAAGGAGGTACGAGCCGGCAGCCATCGACTTCCCGATCCCGGGCGTCCCAACCAAGAGACACGGATAATGCTTAAAGTCGGCCTCAGCATGAGTGCTAAGCAATTCGGTTAGATCATTCCTGACGATCTGCCACACTCGCTCCATCTCACAGTTCACATAGCAGTCACGAGTGGATTTATACACTTTTCCCCCGTTCCCACGAGTACGGCCATCCCCTGTCCGAGGTGAGCACCATCAGCCTGAGACGCTCTGCAGCTGATTGCTCCACACCGTCATCCTTTCGAAGGTACCGCCAACTGCCTTGTAAGTCCATGACTGTTTTGGTTTCCCCTCGCCTCCAGGAACTTCCATGAAATGATGCCACCTCGCATTGTACCCAGACTCGTAGCATCCCTCCGAGGTCTGTCTCCTCTGCCTTTCGCTTCTCCATTTCTTCTTATTTCAGTACCTGAGAGGGGACTGCGTTTATTTTTACCCTTGCAAATAAAGTGACCGTGTACTTAATTTCAAAATCCCTCCATTGTTCAAAAGTGGGCATACCTTCTTGCTAAAAAGTGTTTTTGCTTTAAATCCTTTTGCAACTGTTCTTTTTGGTTTGATTTTCGCCTTATATCCACACGTCAAGGCAAAAAAAGCAATGAAAAGATAGTGAGTACCCCCCTTTAGGGGCATTGTTTGCCTTTTCTCACCAACCTCACACAGGTAAATACAGTAGAATCTAAGGTACTACAAGGCATACGCAACGCAATCGCGCGCCATTGCACCCAAAAATAGGGGTGGCCTTGCTTTCGCACCGCTGTCTCCCATTTTCTTAAAGTCAAAACCCAGAATTGAACGCACAACGCAAATGCAAAAGCATAAAAACAACCAATGAAATACCAAACTCAGCTAAATTCACGCCAATTGCACAGTATGCGACAACGCCGAAAACCAGCTCAGTTTCCACGACCTCCAGGTATTGGTTTGATAAAGCGACACCACCATCATCATCATGAAGGTGGCGGCTCTGTCCTTCCCCTGTGGTTGACACGGCAGGAGGAGGCAAAGACACATCGACGGAATAGGCGCTTTTCCTACTTCCAACTAACTGAAGAATAATACAAAAATGCATTCCTGGAAACACGTGCAAAAAAAAAGGGGTTGTGTTTAGTAACCGGGTGGTCTCGGGAGGTTCTGCACGCCTCTCGCTATCGCGCTTGCACCATCAATTGGAGTGATGCCCCAAAGACGATGACGCCAGTAACAAAAAAGAAAATAGAAGAACAACGCAATGGGGCCAACAACTGATATGTTTGCCACCGTCAGCAGCTTTTTTATCTTGAATTTTTGATCAACAGGCACCTTATCTAGCCTTTCTTCAAAGATGGACAACTCTTCTTTACGCCTCTTCCAGCGACGGTAAGACCAACGGTTGACTGGGTGACTGTCTTTACTCACCTCCCAGTAGCTTCGCTCACGCAAAACGTCTTTTTTAAGTGTCTTATTGAAAGCATACAGACGATCTGCATTAACCCTTCCCGCTGCGCCCTTTCTAACAAAGACCGACATTTGCTTCCTTTCTTGTATTTTCTTTTTGTAATTCCTTTTTTTCTTGGCTCCCAAAGAAACGCAAAGCAACAAAAAAAAACAAACAAACTATAAACAAGGGGGAAGGAGAGACCAAAATATGCAATTGAGAAAAAGATACCATGGGCGTTAGATTTTCTCCATGGGACATCTAATAAATCCTTACCTGTATTTTTCAGTTTTTTTACCGTGCTGGAATTATTCACAGTGTTACCTGCTGCAATTTTGCCAGATGTGGATGGCTCTTTAAATGTCTCTCCCATGCCTTCACGGCAATGTGCCTTCGGCACACTCTACACATCACCCGTCCGGCTGAGTGCATTTTGTTCCGCTCGTCTCTCGACACATGTCGAGGTGGAACGCGACCTTTTTTTAGGTTCCGTGGATCCTCCATACGCTCATGTTTCTCCGGATATCCGGGAAAATGCTGATCTATGTACTTCTGGAACTGGTTTCTATGGCAAGACCCATACAGTTTTTTAAACCTCTCGTAGGACTCGTTAATAAAAGTTGTCTCTCCAGGAATCACTTTCCCAGATGCGTCACGCCGCTTTCGCCATTTAAGACCATACGCTCCACACAGATCATCTAGATCCTTTTGTTTCGATAAATCCAAACGCAGTTTGTCATGCGCATCACACTGATTGATATGCATCAGAGCCCCACTAAGACGCTCAAATGGTGTAGCGTCCAAGCCAATGTATCCTCCCTTGTGTACATCAAGTGGAGGTACATGGGCATGCATACTTAGATAATTGCGAAGGGTACGGAGACACTCCTCCCATGGATATGGCCCCTGCATGCCATAACTTTGCCATAGAGGGAGTGACTCCAAATCCCGAATCTGGTATACCTTAAGGTAAGAGGGCTCGTGATTCATGTACTGACGATACCCTTTTCGTGCATACCGGTAAAATAAGGCCATAGAAACGGATTTTTTCCCGATCACCCAAGCATCGTTCGTTTTTGGATACCGGTTACACTCCAAAACAATGCGTCTCAGTTCACCAAATGCAGATTTCCACGGTATGCGCGCAGCCCTATGCAGCCGATCAGTGTTCTGATTGGTATATCGAACACCCCGTCGTATGGCAGGAAGAACAAACTTCCGCAAGCGTTCAGAAGAAAGTTTAAGAGACCTCAGACCAACAACGTCAATGTCATAGGAAACCTTCTGAGGATCAATCAGGTATTCAAACAGAATGGGGTCCTCATCCATTAACGCATCCGTAAAAGGGATCAGGGTAGAGAATTTCTGAAGATTAACAGGATGTGTCTCTGGTAGGTTCTTATCAATGGTAGCTGGCAAAAACACATAGGATTTTGGTTTGTTTTCCATTTTATTGAGTGGCCGGCAAATGCTCTGAACAATATCACGGGAACTGTATCTTGGTGCAGCAAAAAAAACTGCGTTAAGATCAGGTATCTCTACACCCTCTTGAAATAAGCGAACATTGAACAATATACAACGCTTCGAGGCAGAAAAGTCACGCAGAACATCTGTAACGACTCTGCAACCCATTCTGGAATGCGCGAGCATCACATTAAATGGAACGGTATCATCAGGAAAAGGGCATTTTAAACTTTCCGTTAGTTGAATAGCATGCTCAATACTTCGGCAGTAAACTATCATTTTGTCTACAATGCGCATTGCTTCATAAAAGTAAGGATTCATGTCATCCATTTCTTCTCCCAAAACAATTCTTAATGAAAACGCGTTCACGTAACCTGCATCGATTCCTTCTCTGAGATAATAGCGGTATGCTATTCCACCAAAAAGATGTGTGTTATCCATCTTTATTGGTGTATCGTAGGCAGGAGTCGCGGTAAGAAACAATCGGTTTCCGGAACGTGGTTGAAAAAGAACGCTGTTAAAATTAGTTATTGAGGCACTTCCACAAACACGATGGCATTCATCGAAGACTGTTAAGTCAAACACCGAGAGTTTTGAGACGATATGTGATGACTGATATGTGCTAATGACGACCATCTGTGATGAAGAACCCTTGAATACATTTTCAATTACCCCTTCATCAGTAGTCATCATGAGAGAATTTCCATCGCCAAGCGATACAGAGGTAGGGTAAGATCCAATAAGAAGATACTTAATTTCCCTTAAACCGTAACTGTACAATTTTCTTACCGTTTGTCGGAGTAGCGTTAAACCTGGTACAAGGTAAAGTACCCTTGTATCTCGTTTATTCTTTAAATAATACTCTATAATTTTAAACGCAACAGGAGTCTTCCCACATCTGCAGGCCATTTGGCAGATGGTAGCGCCATGACTCTCAAGCTCCTCACGACATCGCGTCACAGCTTCTTGCTGGTATGGGCGAAGTTTGGTTAAAGAGAAAGACTCCTCTTTGTATGTCTCCAAAACATCAAGGTCGTATTCCTCCTCTTCCTCGTTTTCAGCAAATTTCTCACCCCTGTCTACAGTTATCTTGTCGCATAATGCAGGTTTTCGCACAGAGTCATAAAGTTTCTCTAGTGCTTCCATGTACCTCCCGAGGGTGTTTGGCCTCAATGCATTATGTGTCGAGGAGACGTTATCAGGAAACAACTCTCTTCCACTCCTGCCACGAACAGGACTCTCGGTCGAGCTGTAGTTGGGCTGCATGTTCACCAATGCGTTGAGGTTCAATGCAAGACAAACACGCCGTGCTCCTTCCAAGACTTCCTTAGCACTCCCTTGGATCAATTCACGGTTAGAAACACGTCTATCTTTAAAAAGAAACAGCACCGCCTGCTCCAGAAGAAAAGCCTCCTTGATACTCTCCAACTCAAAAACAGCAAAATAAGACCACTCAGGGGTAAAACACGTCGTGAACGAAGCCATTTCAAGTCGGCGAGAGAGGTTTGCTGTGTAGCCCACCTTTACATATCCCGACCCCTTAAGCCACGGATGCATGGCAATATAGAAACCATATGCACAATTGAAAAGCCTGGTCCGATTAGCCATTTGATGTCTTTGCTGTTTTGTCGTTTTTGTTGTTCGTCCCAGATTCAACAAATGCAAAGGAAAAAAAAAAAAAAGATCATCATAAATATGTATTTTCCTCATATCAAAAAAAGAAAAAAACTAGATTTATTGCCGGTAAAAATACACAAAAGCCACAAACAATAAAAGTAAAAATAAAAATAAATTTTTATTCAAATAAATTTTAAAGAAAAATTTAAAGGATTTTAAGAAATTTAAAAAAAAAGAATAATCTTCTGGGCAGCTGGCCGGATCCTGAAAATCTATGGAAACCAAACAAGTTAGGAAAAAAGGTTCGTTAGTTAATTGCTTCAATATTTTCTTTTCATTCAATATATAAATTCTGTGAACCACTAGCATGGTCCTTAGTCCTCAGTTAAGATCTGAATATTATTACTTACGAAGTGGCAGAATTTGGGGTACTCCAACCACAAGACCCCGCCGCGTGGTCGGAATCGAGGGGCTGAGATGACAAAACAAGAATAAAATTGCCTATTCGCTGTCTGCTCCCTGTTCCACCTAAAGTTGTGTTCTTCCCACGTTCACAAGACAGAAAAGTATCATAAAGAAGTGAATTCTTTATTATCAGGATTTAAAATTAATTAAGTTAGCCAGCTTTCCTGCGATCATTCTCTTCACAAGCTCCTATAAAAAGCCTTAAAAAAATCAAAAAAAAAAAAATTTATTTAGTTTTTTGAATTAAAATAAATTTTTTGAAAAATTTTGAAAGTTTTTTAAGGTTTTAAAAAGAAAATTTTAAGGCTTTTTTATTTTAAAAAATTCAAAAGAATTTTAAAAATTCAAAAAAAAAAAGTGGGTGCAAAAAAGATAGCTCTGGTCTACCTTTTCAGCAAAAAAAAAAAACCCACAAATACACTGTTGCAGGAAAACGCATCTTCAAAAAAAAGATGCCTCTCTTGTTCTGGCGTTTACATATATAATATTCGTCTGGGTTTTTGGCCAAATCCCGAATTTATCTAAAAGAAAATCAAACAAGACGGGGAAAAAGGGGTAAATGAAGAGGCAGTGAATTAGACTCAATATTTTCTCCAAATAAATATACACATTCCGATAGCCGCTCCCGTGGCATGTCGCACTTTGTTAGAACTAAAAATATTATTACTTAGGAGGTGGAAGGCTTTGGGGTTCTCCAACCACAAAACCCCACCACAAGGATGGATTCAAAAAGGGGGTGGGCGTAAAAATAAGAAATAAAAATAAATAAATATCAATCGTCCAGACGCCATTGGTTCCCTAATTCCTTCAATCGCGGTAAACCAAAGATCCATAAAGTAGAAAAAAAGTCCTGCAGAGATATATTCGATCTTTCAGGATATATTGAATTGGGTAGAAAGCTTACACCTTGAACATTCTTTTCACAAGCTCCTAAAAAAGAAAAACAATTAGAAAAAAAAAATGGAAAAAAAAAATTTAAAGAAGAATAAATTAAGGAAATCATAAAAAATTTTTTTATAAAAAAAATATTTGGAAAAAAAAGCCATCCCGTTCCATGAGGATTGTAAGAATTCGCAAATCGCACATGTATAATTAAATTCTTTTTTCCCCATCCAACACAAAATTAGCCTCATAGATAAAAATCTTGGCAGTTTATCAAGTGGTAAACCGAAAAAGCATGCAATAAGTTTTCTGAGATCAATCTCATGCTTCTACACAATTCTCGGCCGGGCCTACTCCTTTAATACTTTTAATTTGTTGTTTGGGATTTTCCGTGATACTTTTAGAATAAAAACATTCTTGAGTTAAATCCTTTAAATATTGTCGGCAAGATTCGCCCGCAGAGCAAGAGCCGCGCTGATTACACCAAAATTAAGGCATGGGTAGAGAAGAAAACCCACATCTTCCGCAATTTTGCGGGCGGCATTTCAGGTTTTTTACGGTATCCATTCCTTGAAAACAAAAAAAGGAAATAAGCCTTGAATATACTAACCCGCCGTCGGCCATATGCCGCCCTTACGCCGAAAGGGGGAAGGCGCCCCGAACCCCCGCGTAACGGCCCCGTTCCCCAATCCGATTTCGTCCCAAGCACCAAAGCTTCCAAAAACTGCTCAAAAAAAAAAGTCCCCGGGGCGGCCCTCCTTTTCGCGCGGCAGTTTTTCTTCCGCCGGCGGCCCTTCGGTCCATTCGTGGCCGTTGTCTTTTAACCCTCTTCCCGGATGGGGGCGGAGCCCCTTCTATCCGGATGACGCCCGAGCCGCGCCGACCTATAGCCAGTGATGCGTTTATTTTTCAATTAGTTAACGGGTCTCTTAGGCGATTGGGGCGGTGCGTCGTGATTTTTTTCTGGGGAGTCTACCCAGTTTTGGAAGTGACTCTGTCGCTTTTGGCGTTTTTACTTTGATGTTGCTTATTTCTGCTCTACAATTGTTGCTAAATTGCTTGTGTGTGCGTTTGTGTGCGTCTTTGTGCGTGTTGCCAGCTGAACGATTATTTTTTTATATATGTTCCATTTTTAGTTTCCGCAGACATGGAAGTGATTAGAAAGAGTACGAGAAATTGTGGCGGTGGTAAATTTAGTGATCCAGAAGAGATTCAGCTCCATGCCAACGATTTTTCGTGGGAGGAAAAGATGGAAGAGCTGAGCGATGATGAACGAAAACTAGTGCAAAATTATCTTTATAATTGTAAGCAAAAGTTACTGGAACTGAATACGAAGAGCATAACTGTACATTTACCAACCCCCGCATGCAAAGCTGATGCATGGGATTCACATTATCGGACAAACAAGCGTCACTTTCCACTAAAAAACTACATTATTCTTGCATTTCCCTTGATCAAGGAAATGTGTTCTTCCTCAACCCAATCAAAATGCCTTTATATTCTTGAATGCGGATGTGGGACTGGAAGTACACTTTTGCCACTGATGAGACAGTTTGGAGAAAACGTGCACTTTATAGGTTTTGATGTTTCTGATAATGCGGTATCTGTCCTTTTGGACCATCCTCTTTCTAAGGAGTTTATTGAGGGTCAGCGTCTTACAGCTTTTACCCATGACATTTTATGTGCGCGCGAAAGGCCTGTAGATGGGCCGGAAAAATCTCGTGTTCGAAAAGAATCCGGAGGGTTAAAAAGTGTAATATTAAAAAAGGTGTCAGATTGCACTCATGGGGTTGATGTGGTTCTTCTTGTGTTTGTTATTTCTTCTTTGCCATCGTTGGAATCCATGGTGTACGCTTTGAAGGAAATTGCAGAAGTTCTTAAACCCAATGGTGTTCTTCTCTTTCGTGACTACGCTGTTCCAGACCACAATTTGTTCCGCTTTACAAGACAAGGCAATGAAGTGGTTAACGATCTTGCTTTTCGTAAAGGAGATGGCACTCTGCAAATGTTTTTTGAAGCGAATTTTATAAGAAAACTGTTTGCATTGGCTGGGTTCAAAGAGGTCGATGGACATGGCCTACAGTATCACTGTAACCGCATAGTAAATCGAAAGAACAGTAAAAAAATGGATAAAGTTTTTATAAACGGTGCTTTTTGTCTCTCCTCAACATGATTTTAGGTGCGTATAATTCTGAATTTTCCCTTCCGGTATTAGGGGGCTTTGATGTTAGTCTATTTTATCAATTCATTTGTCTTGGTGTGTGCGTGTGTGATATGGTTCCTATATGTATATTCTTTATCATTGATTTCCTTTCTCTCATTCATGCTATTGTTGATCTTTATTACTAATGCAGCATTTATCATGCAAGAGGGATGTTGCGAGGCTGTTTCTCCTCCTGAGGGCAACGAAGGACAAAGACGATTTGAACTGAAACGCTGGAATGCCGTAGCTCTTTGGTCTTGGGATATTCAAGTGGAGACATGTGCCATTTGCCGTAACCACGTAATGGATCTCTGTATCGAATGTCAGGCCAATCAAAGTCTTTCTCCAACTGACTGTAACGTTTCTTGGGGAGCATGTAACCACGCTTTTCACACCCATTGTATATCTCGTTGGTTAAAAACACGAAATGTTTGTCCCTTGGATAATAAGGAATGGTCATACCAGAAACTAGGTGCGTAATAATCACGAAGTTGGGTATTATTATATTTAGCCTTGTTACCCAATATATGCATATATTTATTTATTTTTCAAAGTAGGGAGGGAAGAGGTGATTTTCTTAAGCGACAACAAAAACCGCATATATAAGACGCTAAATTTAAGCGAGTTGTAATTGTTTTATTTGCTTTGAGGCATGTTTTTCTTTTTTAGGGCATGATTTCTCATCATTATTAAATGCGTTTTTTTCTTTACTTTTTGATGTATGTATCATTAGATGAAGGGTACCTTTTTTTTGCGAAGGCAAGTGCTATCAGACGCTCTCTCCAAAACAGAAATAGGTAAAAAAATAATTCAAGGAGGTTTTCAGCTGCATCCCCAGTTTGATTTGCACCACGAATTAGGTTCGAGGGAATTTATACTTTATTCTAATAATATCCATGATGCTTCTGTTTTGGTTCATTGTTTAGTTGGTAGTTCTCCTTTGCGCTCTTTGGACGGGGGTTGTAAAAAGGATACCGGTAAGAAGAAATTGTTTCCCAAGTCGAGGTGTCAGAATTGCACAATAAATGTTCCCCCTGTGGAATTTTCTGTGTTTGTGTATGTGTTTGGTTCGGGGATTACAGTTGAGGTCTCTTGTAGTTCCATGCTCGGTTTTCTTATTATCGATGGTGTGACAACTCACGATGGTCTCATCACCGACTCTTTGGTGCCTCGAGAAGGATGCCCTGTTGGTGAAATGTTGTATCAAGGCCCATGGCTGAATCAAAGAGCTCTATCGGAGTCGGCACTTAGCGTGAGAAGTAACGTGAACCCATTGGACCCCTGGAGGCAGGAACAGGCGTTTTTTTTTAACAGACATGTGCGACCCTGGATCTCGCGTTTTTTGCGTTTTGGTCACTCTCCTGTTCATACTGTAAAACCCGAGTTCGCGGATGCGCTTTTTTGTTTTCTTGAGTGTTTTTGTGTCGATGATGATCTTGCAGCCTTTGTAGAGCGATTCGCACATGAGGTGCAAAGAAAAGAAAGAGAGATGTGGTCTAAAATTGTGATGGATATCATTTGATGAAGCGGGGTCGTCTGTAGTGGACAAAATTGTTTTGTATGTTGAATTTTTTTACATACCTTTTTTTGTTTTTTTTTTGTTTGATTTTGTTTTTGTTTTTTTAGCTTATTTATTTTAATGAAGCTTGCTACATTATAACATTTATTTATTACTTTTTATTTCTTTTTTATCTTTCACTAAAGCTTTTTTATCGAAAGTGGTGTAAAAAAAAAAAAATGGACCGTTTAAAGCTGAGCACTAAGGCGCTACTGGGGATGGCAACGCGCACTGTCGATCAGGATCACGGAATGCGACATACATGTGTTAAATCATTCTGTCAGGCAGTTCTTCAATATGAATTTGCGATTTCCAAGTTTGTTGCGGCATTGTCGACATTATCGGATTCCTTGGAGGGTGTAGAAAAGGCATATAAGAACGTCATTTCTAATGAAAAACAGGTTTCTGTTTTTGATGGTCTGAACGAAGTAACAAACCATTTAGAAAAATGCCGTACAACTATTATTTCAGGTTCTATCGAGACATTTAGAGCAAATGTAGCCCCGTCCTTGTCCGCACTGAAGGAGCATTGTGAATTGTGCGAGCGTCTTCATAATGAGCGAGCCAAAGCCGTTGATTTGTATGATTATCATCGGGATGTTGTGAAAAAAAAGAAGTTCA